TGGGATCTTACTTCAGCTACTGAGAGAAGTTACAAAACAGAGATGAGAACAGCTTGTGGGCTGGTGTCACTTCTGTTGAGCCACTGGTTCCCAGCTTTGAGCAGTGGTTAGTGTTACTATGGGTGAGGCTAGGTTTGGGTTTGGGTTTGTTCACATTTTAGACTCCTGACTGAAACAACTGGAGTCAGGCTGCTCACGCAGGTCAAAATAACAGCAAAATCTGCACTAGAAATTGTTTCTTTACAGCAGCTCCATGTTTTCTGTAAGAGGCTGACTGTGTCCTGATGGAAGTCAGATTCATGAGCAGATAAAAGACGTTTTCTTTCCTCCAGTTTCGTCTCCTTTGTGTGCGTTCAGACTCCAACCAGAAAAACACTCACACCTGTTTAAACAGTTAAAGTTGACATTTGAAGATGAGAGGGTTCCTCCTGACAACCGCAACACGCAGACAGAGACGTCAGGCTGCTGGGGGTGTTCTGAACCATGAACAAGACACAAACATGCTGACATGTATGGCAGAGACAAACTGACAGGTAGAAAGCAAAATGAAGGGAGAGACAGAGCGAGAGGAAGGAGTGGAGGGGAGGGGCTGAGCAGGGGCAGGGAGGAGGAGGAGGAGGAGGAGGAGGAGGAAAGAGCCATCGTCGAGAGAAAATTAATTGCTGGCTGCAGGTTATTGGCTGGCCGCGCTGCCGTGGAGGCTGCTGTTGTTCCAGTGCAGGAAGGATGCAGCAGAAGAAGAGAGAGCAGTGAACCGAGCGCTGCAGATCTGTCCCCTCGGTCCTGAGCCCCCCCACCGCCCCACCTGGTCCAACATCTCCTTGTGCATCTGTAAAGGGCCAGGGATGCTCGTTAGAAGGGAGACACTGGACCTGTGTCATTATTCTGAAGGAAAGAAGAGGAGGGACGCCGGCGTGGAAGCTCTGCCCAGATGAGGATCACCTTCTGTGGGAAGACTGGGAGGACTGGGAGGCTGATTCCCCCGGGGAAATCAAGGAGTGGACGGGTCCTAAAACATCTGGAAAGGTGCAACAGGGGCTCTTTAAGAGGCTCACAATCCAGTCGGGGAGCTCTACGGATTTTCTGAACCTGCAGCAATAATAGGAAGTTTTTTTGTATTTCTAGAGGTGAACATCAAGAATCTGGTTGATCAAGTCAGGTTTGTCTGTAATTTGAATTGTTATGTGTTTTTATAACAAATGAAAAAATGTGTCACTGCAGCAACTTGTTTCTAATACAGATCAGTTCTAACGTGTCCGACCTCGGCTGTGTGCTTCATATTACTGATGAATCTTTTTGATCATTACATTCATTTAGTCACAAAAGTTAGGAAACAATAAAAATGACACTACAGTTGAAGATGATGTTGTCAAGTTGCTTGTTTTGTCAGAAAAAATAATTATGGCTGAACAAGAAGAAGAACAAAAGTCATACACACACAGCTGGATGCATCTGTCAACCAGTTTTCAATCTAAATTAATTTCAACAGTTTAAATCCTTGTTTTGCTGCAGTCATTTATTAAAGGTTGGAAAAGCCAAAATCCAATCAGTAACTTGCAAGAAAAGAGTCAAATGTGGGGTAAAATGTGACAAAGGTTAAGTAGTTTGTGAAGTAGAAACCCATTTCCTCTGCTTTAAGTTCTGGTTAATCATCTGGAGACCCGTCAGACTGAAGCCAGAACTGACGACATCGGTTCAGGTTGAACTATTCTCACTAGACCCACTGAATATGTCACTGGTCTTTAGGACTCAACTGATTTTCTTTTGCCTTTACAAACAAACTGCATCTGGAAAAAAAATCTAGAAAATCTGGATTAAGAACCAGACTTCCAGAAAATTCAGATTTACACCAGCACAAGATAAAAATGTGAGCAGGGAGACAATGACTAACAAACCTGTGTGTGTTCATGTCCTTCATCCAGTCAGTGTATAAAACCAGTTCGAATCTCATTTCTCTCTCTGTTGTTCCCTGTTCAGGTGCAAAACTAAGCTGGATTTAACCTCTGTAGAGAGACGTGGGAGCAGCAGAGGAACACGAGGGAGGAAGGGACGGAGAGAGGAGGAGCACGGGCTCCGGGCTGCAGGGTCGAGCTCTCCCTGAAAACAGGATCCAGCTCAGTCTGCTCTCCAGTCCTGCAGGAGGAGCTCTGGGGAATAAAGTGGATTTCACTAGAGACACAAACAAAGCTGGTCTTTGTCTCGCTGGATTCTCCATCCTGAAGGAGGTTTTTTTTTAAGGATTTAAAAGTTTAATGTTTTACACTCGATCCTGACTGAAGAAACTGATTCTTTTCTGGCCAGCAATGAATAGAAAGGTGCTTGAAATTCACTGAAAGAACCAGAAACACTGGAAAATTGTTCAAATGATCAAGGTTAAGCAAAAATCCTGAGAGGTTTCCTCGAGGAGCTGGTGTCCTGGGATGACAGGCCTCCATTTCTACCCATTTTAACTTCCTGTTTCTCTTCATCTCATTTGTAATTTGGATTATTCTTTCCTTTCACTTTTGCCAACATACACATGTTCCATCTGGCACCTGTTTCCCTTTGCTGCATCTGACAGGAATCCTGGTGAGGATCAAGTTGTATGAAGCAGAGAGCGGCTGCAGACAGGCTGAGATACTCTGATAAAACCAGATAAGTGACGTTCAGTGACAAGAGCAGCAGGAAATCCAGGCTGCGTGTGTTGGTGTCCGTCACCGCTCTGCAGCTATTTCCATCTCAAGGACTTTCTGTGGGCGAGGTGGGCGGTCATAAAACCAGAGGAAGGGAGACGCGCTCTCCTCTGCAAAGCCCCAACATGGCAGAGGAAGAAGTAAAGTGAAACTAAACATCAGCTGTGAAGAAGCAGATGAATGTGAAGCTCTGAAATGTCTCTTTAAATGAACCTCTGATAAAGACCTAACCAGAGTGCGGAGGCAGCACCACTGGACTGAGTTAAACCACAAGGTGCCGCAGCTCATTTCACAGAATAATTAAAAGAAAGAATTGACAAAATGTCCAGGGAAGGTCAAGACTGAATCCAACAAGAAACCAAAGCAATCAGAGTCAGAAATCTGAGAACACGTTCATCCACGTGTCAGAATGAGCTTTACCTGAAGGAGCCAAAGGCAAGTCTGAGCCGGTTAGTGTTGGAGAGGAGACACCAAGTTGAACCAGGGGCAAAGCCGCCCCAGCCTTTAGAAGAACCAGGCAAACTCTGGCTGTGAACGAAGCACAGCCTGTGGAGACACTCGTTCAGAGCTCCACGGTTGGACGAGAGTCAAGCTGACATATGAAACTGATCAAGACTGAAAAAAACAACTCGTTCATTCCAGATTTTACTGATGCTGCACATAATGCTGTTGATAAAAACTCTGCAGGAAGTGACACGTCTCTGGACTTGTGGTGAAATCGACAACACAAAAAAACATATTACATTTTTGTAGATTAAGTTTAAAACAGCAAAGACTGACAGTAAATTGATTAAGCCACAGAGTCTAGATTTCATCTCACAGCTAAAATAAAACATGTTGTACTGCTGGAGAGACAGAGCTGCATCCTCGTCTGTGCCACGTTGAGGTGAATCAACTTCTGTCTGACACACAAATCACAAATCTGACTCAAATGAAACCGCGGTGCTCAGAGTTCAGTCGACTGATTACAGATTCACTTCTGAAGCACTGAGAATTCCTTCAAACAATCAGGAGCTGAAAACCTTTCGCTCTGGATGAAACTAAACTTCAACTCTGTGAGCACATAGTTTGGATTCAGCCTAAATATTAAAACGATATTTGTATCAATTTTCATGATTTAAAAGACTTTTTCATATCATTTGAAAGGAAAAGCACAGATTGAGAATTGACCCTTAAGTTCTTCATAGGGTAAATACTCAGCTACAGTTTTTTTTTTCACATTACTGAAGCTCTCTGTTACCGACAGTTCATAGTTCAGATCTGTGGATCTGTGGATCGTCTCGTGTTCTCGTCACAATCTGGGGCGAAAGAAATGGTTTCAAAGAGCAGCTGATGTTCGCCAGAAGTATGCGTTTTATCAACACCACAGCTGCTGTACAGCCGCTCGCTGGTTTGAGAGGTGATGCCGTAAACACACACAGTCGGTGTGAATGCTGAACACATCAAACACACACCTTGGTCTCTCCAGAAACTGCCCTCCTCCTCCTTCATCCCTCCATCATTCTCTTCAGGGACAATTCAACAGGTTTTTTTTGGGGACAAACACAAACTCACTTGTTTCTACACTTTGAGGCTAAAACCCGTAGCTTTCACCTCTTCATCTGGCTCCTCTTCCTCCCCTGCAGGGCTGAAACAATCTGCTGTATGTGAATACAAACTCATTTTCACCATGATGAAACAGAGCAGCGTCTCGCCCCCTCGCTGCCAGAACAGCGGCAGATAAAAGCTGTTTACTGCGAGGAGCTGTCGCCACACAACACAGCTGAACAATGTCCTGCTCCTCGTGTCTCCTGTTTTATCACAGTTTCCAGCCAAAACATTAAGAAACACAGATGTGGGCTTTGCTTTTGTCTTCTGAGCGCGACTCTCAGCTCAACAGATACCTTTGTTAAAGAAGTGCTGAAGTTTTGATGGATAAAAGCATCTGGTTTGTTTTGTGACAGTGAAGCACATCTTCATCTTTCCTGTTTTCAATGAAGTGGCTTCATTTTTTGAAGGAAATGTTCCTTTTCTGGGAGAAAGCTTAAAGTATAGCACCATACGTTTGAACACATTTGTCAAAAAAGAAAAAAAAAAAACTAAAAATGGACTTATGAGGATCTTTTGTTGCAGAAGAATCTCTGAAGCTCCACTGATAATAGTAGCTTTTATATCTTTGAAACACAACTGGAAAACAGCTGAGCACATCTGATCTGAATTTCACTGGATTAAGAGCTTGGACAGTTTTCTGAGGATCGATGATTTCATTTTACAAAGAACAAACATCAAACTTCCCACATAAAGGATTTTTGTCAACAGGCTCAAGAAGTGGTGTGAAATCTGGTGACAGTTTCTACTGCCCGTTTTGTTCAGCTGAGTTTATGTGACCTTTGGTTTCTACTGCCCGTTTTGTTCAGCTGAGTTTATGTGACCTTTGGTTTCTACTGCCCGTTTTGTTCAGCTGAGTTTATGTGACCTTTGGACACAGATAACGACACAAAACCTCCCTGAACCTCATTTTGTCTCAAAGGTCAGAGGCTGATTAGAGGGCAAACAGCTGAGAAAACAGACAGAGAACTGACCTGAGGACATCAGAGTTGGAGGTGAAAGGTCAGACAGACGAGGTGGATTATTGACACAGTGCCAGCTGCAGACACAAAGCAGAGAGGACAGACAGGTAAAAAGACGAGAGAAGAGAGGACGAGCATCAGATGTCATCATGGGCTGCAACATGTGTGTGGTCAAACGTCCGGAGGAGCAATACAGGATTATGTTCCAGGTAAGAGACCAGAACAGGTCCTTGGCAGGTTTTGGCAAATGTGTGTTTTACAGTTGCTAATACACATTTGTCACGACAGGAATTGTGAAACTGAACTTATTATTACAACATAAGCTAAAAAAAATTAATGCCATAAAACTGTAATTTAAGTCAAAATGAGCTAAACATGCAAGAGCTGCCTGAGGCTGCTGTCTTCAGCCCAGTGTCACATTAATAACTACACTGGTCCACAGCGTAAAACATAGCAGTGTCACAATAACGGCTGACATTTTAATGTTCTCTGTATTTGCAGCCTAGTGCCTTATTCACGGTCTTAGTCTTGGTGTTTTATGACAAATGGTAACCAACAAAATGGTGCATTACCACCACTGCTGGGTCTGGGAGCCTACATTTAGCATCTGTTGAAGTCAAAGGGTTTTGATCTACAACTGGGTATTGTCCCAAATTTGGCATTGTGTAACGTTGGCAGTATTTTAACCAAACTCATGGCCTTTCCCTAACTTTAACCACATAGTTTCTGTGCATAAACTTAACCTTTTTTTTTTTCTGCTAGAAAGACGATGCCACAAATTTCAATCCAAAAACGTTGCAATATCCCAGTTTTGGAGGCTGCTATGTTTTTACTATACATTTCAGAGGTACACATTGTGCCAACCATGAAATTAATACAAACTGAACCTGAGTCTTCAGAGCCCTGAGAGTTTGCTGTGGCCCTGCTTGGTAATCCAACCCAAGCTGTGAAAATAATCACGTCAGCTTGGTTGGTACTCGCTTTGAAGTAGGTGCAAGGTGAGTTTCTCAGAAATGAGCTACTTCTGAGGACCCAGAGGTCTCAGGTATTTCTGGGGTTATTATACAATGTGGTGCAAGTAGGCGTATGTGCTGAAGGAAACTATTGTGCTATTCATCACTGCAGCTTGGTTTAGCTACTCTGTGGAAAGGTCATCACTGATTCTGTTTTCCCCAATGGAGGTAGAAAGTCACAGAGGACCCACTCACAATCCTCCTGCTTGTTCATGGCAGTGTAAAGCAGAGTAATGGTTTCTCTGGCTCTGTGTGTGTGTGTATGTGTGCACTTGTGGTCATGCATTGTACAATAACACTTCAGTTTCCAGCAAAAGAAAACAGCCATGTTATTTGCTGTTGTAATACATTTCCTTAAATTAATGTACACGCTGTATCTATATTTACATTTTTGAACATTCAGATTTGTTTGACATTGATTTAATTCTGACATTACCTTTCCGCAGTACGGATGAACCTTATTACTTCTCTTCAGTATGATTCATTATGTTGAAATGTGGAGCATTTACCCAGAATGTCTGTCACATCAGGACTCTCACAGTTTACTGGGGGGAAAGTATTCAGGTTGTCAACTTAACAAGCAGAAATGTAGTAGTCTGAACATGGTCAGAAACGTGGAGTAAGTTGTTGTTGACACTCTGGCATGTTGGTACTATAGTGGGTAGAGAGTGAAAGGAGGATGTAGTAGTTTGTCTGTGAGAGATTCAGACTGACATCACTGTCAATGGTGTTCAGCAGAAAGTCCTCTGCATCAGACACCAAAGCTTATCACCCTAGAAAACAACACATCTGAGCATGACTCGATTTAACACTTCTACTGGAAGGACAAAATCATTTGTCAGTGGCTTGCAAAATCATAATTAAGGGTGTGGCTGCTTTGAGTGGCAGGTGGAAGGGTCCGGCAACAGATAGCTAGCCACTCCACCTTTTTGCCCATTTTTGGATTAGCTGGAGTTACAGTAGGTGGAGTCAAGATGTTCCAGACTTGAACTTCATATCCACTCTTTAGAAAACCGGTGGGTGGGAGTTCATCCATGTTTCATATACAGTCAGTGGTTATGCTTAGGAAAGCATTGTGGTCACAGTTAAAACAAAGCTTTTCTGTATAAAACATGATACAAACCCAAGGCCTCATTCCAATGTCATGTGACTTCTGTCTTCCAAAGCAAGACAAAAATGGTTTTTATGACAATTTTGGAGGATTTGATTGTCTGACTGTGTGGTGTCAATCAGATTTGACCATGCTCAGCTCAGCCAATGTCTGACTAGGAACAACAGCTGTATATGTATCAGAACACATCAACAGCAAAATGATGGACTGAAGAGTAAGTATCCAGTTTGGAAAGAAATTAGAATAAGCCAGGCATGCCAGCAATGTTATTCTCTAAGTTCCTTCTGTAGCCACAAACCATAATTCTTCATATGACGGCACAAAATTTAAGAATCGTAGTAATGGCTGTTACTGCAGGCGGAGCTGTCCTTGGTCCTGAAACTGCTGTTCTCTGTGGGTGGAACTGTCCATGGTGCTGAGCTCTGGTATGAAACTATACTGTGGTTCAGACAAGCAGGCGGAGCTGTCCTTGGTCCTGAAACTGCTGTTCTCTGTGGGTGGAACTGTCCATGGTGCTGAGCTCTGGTATGAAACTATACTGTGGTTCAGACAAGCAGGCGGAGCTGTCCTTGGTCCTGAAACTGCTGTTCTCTGTGGGTGGAACTGTCCATGGTGCTGAGCTCTGGTATGAAACAATAGATGTGGTTCAGACAAGCAGTCGAAGCTGTCCTTGGTCCTGAAACTGCAGTTCTCTGTGGGTGGAACTGTCCATGGTGCTGAGCTCTGGTATGAAACTATACTGTGGTTCAAACAAACAGGTGGAGCTGTCCTTGGTCCTGAAACTGCTGTTCTCTGTGGGTGGAACTGTCCATGGTGCTGAGCTCTGGTATGAAACTATACTGTGGTTCAGACAAGCAGGTGGAGCTGTCCTTGGTCCTGAAAATGTTGTTCTCTGTGGGTGGAACTGTCCATGGTGCTGAGCTCTGGTATGAAACAATAGATGTGGTTCAGACAAACAGGTGGAGCTGTCCTTGGTCCTGAAACTGCTGTTCTCTGTGGGTGGAACTGTCCATGGTGCTGAGCTCTGGTATGAAACTATACTGTGGTTCAGACAAGCAGGTGGAGCTGTCCTTGGACCATTCATATTATAAGCCTTCAATAACACAGTGAATGTTGACCTTAATATATGTAGTAAGTGCAGAATAACAGATTTCAAACCCCTCAGCTGCTGCTGCCTTTGAGAAAGTCTCCCTATGTGACAAGTGAAAACTGTTTGTGGTTACTGTGGCTGAGTCTGATCTTTCAAAAAGCTGACACTGCTCTCACACACTAAAAGCTTTACAAGAAAAACATCAGCTGGGAACAACAAATTTCATGTAAAGATGAAGAAGTCTTTTCCCACCACAACTCCTTCTTGTTTCTAGTCCTGTCCTTTCCCGCTGAGGAGACACACATTTCTTTAACCTCTGCTTTGGTTTGTATTTCATAGAATACTGGAAGAACACAGTGGGAATTGAGCTTTATGCTCAAAGATGTGTGTTTATAAGGGTCAGGCTTGTTGGAATTCCTCCCACTCTGCATGCAGGCACATTTCTCTGTATTTTACAAATACATGATCACAGGAAGCCACAATTTTGTAGCAATTGTTGTATTTCTTGCTACACACACACACACATCATTGTTCCATTTTTCCTCATACTCGTCTTTCCCTTCCTCTCCATCCTGCCTTTGTCCTACACACATAAACACACACTCACAGATGATCCTCTCCCTAGCAACACTTGTCACTTCATTATGCAACACTATCTCACTAACACACACACAGTGGCCCTGTCACCTTGGCTGCATATGAGAGGGTGTCACCATCAGAATACATGTATGCACGTGTGTGTGTGTGTGTGATGAATGAGGTCTGTAATAGATTCTGATGACCTCATGAGATTTGAAGAGGAGGTGATAAGCAAACACGCACCCCCCTCATTCAGTGTGAATCTGATTTTAGATGTGGTGTTTTACGCTGCAGGGATCTGATGGGATGCTAACAGCTGTGGGACACACACGTTGTGCTGCAAGTCAAAAAACTCACTGCTGAATATGATTCACATTTTTTTGTCCACTGATCTTTCACAGTCTCCCTGTGAATCCATCCTTCTCTTTTCCATCCATTTCCACTTCTCTTATGTTTCTCCCCCTCCCCTCCCCCATTATTCTTATTTCTCTTCACCCTCCAGTGTCTGGTTCTTTGTGTTAATGTCAACTCTCTCACCCCATCCCTGTTTTTAATCTACAGCACTTCCATTGTCTCTCTTCTCTTTTCTTCTGACCTCCCCTCTCCCTTTATCCCCACTCCAATCAAACCACTTTATCTTTAGCCTTTACAATAACTATTTTTACACTGTGGACACAAGACTCCTCATCCTTTAGCCAGCCTTTATTTTACATCTCGTATCAGGGTTTATAAGCAGTTTTTAAAACAATAACAATTAAAAACCATTGATAATACAGATAACTGCCCCTAACGCTGGAGAAAGCTCGGTGTGTAAAACACCATAAGACTCAGTTCTACGTCCAAGTGTAAATGATGTATAATGTATTTATGCACCTTATATTATTTTATACAACTCTCGTGGTAAACCTTCCTCTTTCTCTCCTCCTCCTCACTCCCATTTCTTCCATTCTTTCTGTACCTCTCACACTTGTCTTCAAAAGTAAATCTATCCCACCACCTCTTCTCCCTCTTTCTCCCCCTCCCCACGCTCCCTCCATCTGTCTCCACTTCTCTTCACTTTGCTGTCAGATTTGTCTCAATGGGATGCTGTTGCCATGACAACCAGGGTTATTAGGGAAGCTGTATTTATGCTTTCTCACACTGGAGCTGGCAGATCTGCTATAATGAACACACACACACACACACACGAAAAGAGAGAGAGAGAGAAAACCCCACCAGCTGCTTCTGTCACTGGCATCATTTCAGAGTGAGAGAGGACGAGAGACAAACAAAGACACAGAGGAGAGCGAGAAAAGAGGACTGACATATGTATCATTAAGCAAAACAGTTGTTGAACAGAGCTGAGTGTTAATATTCAGCTGTCAAAGAAACTTAAAGTCAAAACTAAAAACAAAACTGAGCTAAATGGGGACTCGATCATTGACAGTAGAGCTGTTAGTAGTTTTCAAACACATATAGTTACTGAGACATAAGAGTCTTCCAGAGACTTTACATAATCACCCAAGGCATTCATCTCTCTCAGGATAAAGTTCAACATTGTTATAAAAACTGCTTTGTTTTTGATAACGAGATGAAATGAGACCAACAGCTGCAGGATGTTGTTAGTTTATCTTAGCATTAAGACTCCAACACTTAATCAGGACACACTTGTTAATAAAGAGATGTTTAATCTCAGTGAGGTGCAGTATTTCTGGTAAAATGAAAACTGTAATGTAGGCTGAATGAGGAAGGAAGCTCCCAGCATGCTACAATATGTTCAGTGACTGTGCAGCCTTTACGAGTCTAGTCACAGCGATTTTGCCCAGTTTGGCAACATCATACGACAAATAGACCCCGTGTTGTCCAATCATGTCATGCCACATACTGAACTGATGGACACACTGTTGTTGTCAAGAAGTAATATAGACCCAACATTAACTCCCCCATAAAAACATAAGTGACCAGTGGACAGGGCCAGGCTTGCTGTTTGTCCTGCTTCCAGCTCTGATTTCCTACAGTACCACTGGTAAATGGTCTTATATAACTGTCCTCTATCTAGTGAGGCACACATTCCTGCACACAAGCATTCAAACACTGATGGCACAGCCACCAGGAGCAACCTGGGGTTCAGTGTCTTACCCAAAGACACTTGGAGATGTGGAATGGAGAAGCTGGGACTTGAACCACCAACCCTCTGGTTAGGAGACAAGCTGCTCTGCCTCCTGAGGTAAAAAAAAAACACAGTGAGTTCACAAGTAACTAGATTTAGGTGCAAAAACTCCTAATTGATCTGGCACAGACTTTTTTCTTGAGTCATTATCATTCCTTTGTGTGACACAACCTGTGTCAAAAGAAAAACCAGATCTTTGCTACTGTTGCTCTGCCTTTACTGTCAGCTCTCTTTAACTTGTGACCCAGAGCTCAAAGCCACAAAGACTAGAAGCATCCATGAAAGGCATGACTGCAGACAGAAACAACACAAGAGAACAAAACAAATCCTCAGAGGTCATTATGGTCCGACGCGTCATTTGCATGTCGCCCTTTAAGGACTATCTGAGAGTCATCAAAACCGCATTAGTCTTAATGAGCTGTCGGCTCATTAGGCTGTCAGCAGCAGCACTCCAGAGACAGAATCAACGCGTTTGTATTCAGCTGTGGATCTGAACACTAGGTGCCAACATGCTGCTACATTTCCCATACTGCAGTGCTGCTGCATCCACGTCACGGTTCAGAAAAGGCCAAGGGAAACGCCACAGGCTGGATGGCAAAACGTGGTGAATGTTTGGTCAGAGGGGCTGATAAACAAGTTTGTTTGCAGTATATACGCAGTGAGAAATGTTATATAGGAGGCAATGTGACGTTTATGTTCTGAATCTTAAACCGCCTCATGGCAGTGATACATGTTTATGTGGAGGCGGTTTTGTAGATTTACATAACAAGCACACGAGTGAAAATAAACTGTGGAATAAATGGGCTCAGTAATATGTGTGAGCGCACGGCGCTGCCTGTCTCATACGGCTGACAGTTAATAATGCACAATTTAAATGATTCATGTGTTCATATTCACATGCTTTGTTTGCTTTTCCATAAAATGAAATGGTAATTGCTCGTATGCTGCTGTGGCTCTGAGGGCTGCAGATGATTTTAAATGAACAGCTGAATGTGTAGAGCCAGATCTGAATGAAGAACAGATTTCTATAGCCTCAGAATGAACTGTTGAGAAAAATAGATCTGTGTGCAGTATGAGTTGATTCAGTATCATCTGAATCTGAATGGACCTTTTCTGGCAGTGGCCATTGTAATTTTCCGAGGCACGTGTGAATAACATCACTAAAGGTTCACTGCATCTGTTTTCATACACTCCTCCTTTGGTTTTGTGCTGACAGAATCAGAGACACCTGGTTTCTCCAGCTTGATTTCTACTGGAGCCGATGTGTAGGCCAGGTTTTACTGGGGTCCCATGTGAACATATACGGGCCAAGACACACACGGACTATCAGACAACGGGCCCCTGGGCACAGACATTTTAAAGGCCCCTACTCTCCCACATTTACAGGAGGAGCAGGACTCACATACTGATCACATGATCTATATTCAGCCTGTATCTTCTTGTGGTTGTTTTATATTTGTTTTTACTCTTATGTTCATCTTATTCATTTTGAATCTGTGTTGCACCTATTTTTACTAGTTGTGTCTATTTTTTTAGTTGTGTTGTATTGCTGTGCAGGTGTTTTGTGTCTCTCTTTGCCATTTTGGCATATTTTTGTCTTTGGGGTCTTTTCTGTCTCTTTTTAGTGGTTTTGATCCTTTTGTAGTTTTGCATCAACAGTATGTTTTGTCATTTTGTGGGAGTTTGTAGTGACTGACTTTTCAACAAAAAGGTTAATAGTCCCTTCACAATTGTCTGGTCTAGGGGCCCCCTGACCTCTAAGGCCCCTGGGCCTGTGCCCGGTCTGCCCATTCATGAATCCATCCATGGTACAAGGACTGCAGAGAGGGAAAGGATTGCTGTGACAACACAGAGTGTGTGATGCATCGTCATATTCAAAATAAAGCAACAAACCTCCACAGTACTAAATGCATGTTTGTACATGTGTGCAGGCAGCACAGGAGAGTACAATACAATATTTACTAAGACAGGACACAACAGTGCATCGCTGACCAGTCTGGTTTCCACCACTGAACATTGTGGATGTAGACTTCCTGCATAACCTGGCGTCTTGTGTACATGTTAGCTCAGCCATCAAAGTCAAGTGTGATGCTGTTTGGTCCTCCACCCTCACTTCAACCACATCTTGGATTTTCAGGCACTTAACCTGCAAAACTGGCAGTGTAGCCCAAACATTCAGGCATGAATGAAGCTACGTCTGTAACAGAACTGGATTCTGCTAAAGCTGCTTCAGACCAAGGTTAGACTCAGGTCTGCAGGAAAAGGAAAAGCACAGAGGTCAGGGTGACTAACAAACCTCAGCTTAACCACAGAGGAGTCAGATCAGAAGCTGCTCACACTGTGTGAAGTGTTGTTGTCTGCAGGTCAGAGCTGCAGACAGAAAAACAGGAAATGTTGTGGATCATTGTGCTCAGAAGGGAATGTAAATGGGATAGAACTGTGAATCATAATAAAGATGGTTTTGAGGAAAGACTGGAGATTTCCCAGAGGTTGGAGCTCAGTGGAGACTCCGTCACATCTGCCGTTTTGTGTGTGAGGGCAGGGAAATGAGGTGCATGTGTCTGTGCATTGTGGTTTTCTTTCCTGTTGAATGAAGGTGTGTACTTCTGTGTGTACTCTATGAGTCTGCAGGTGTGTGCACGCACTCATTTGAATCCCTTGATGGAGTTTCTCGCTGCATGTCATCAGATGAAAACTAGCTTCAAAATATGAATTCAGAAAAAGAAAAACATCATGTTTAATTTGATGTTGGTGCATTTTTAGTTGTAGTTTTTATCGTCAGGATTTGTGAAAGAGCTGATTATAATAGAAGAACAATGACAGTTTGGACCAAAGTGAATCCAGTTCACTGGAGTCTGCCCCAGTTTCTTGTCATTAACCTTCTGCTCCAGCTGCTGCAGCTCTTTTCAATTAAGATCAGGAGAAATAATAAACACAAATGTCACCATTGTTTATTTCAACTTACTGTATAGTCCTCTGTTTATTTCTTTTTTTATTTACCAGTTCATTCTTGTGTGTGGCAGAAAAATGAGGGGGTGGGGGACACGAGGCCTGTTGGAGGTGGGGGTGGAAAGGTGGAAAGGACTGTCACGTGGGAGAAAGCTGTTCATTTTCATCAGCAGTGGACTTTAATTAACTGTGGCATTTGTGCTTTAAGAGCTTATTGTCCACACTGGCTTAACCCTTTCATGCCTGAACAATAAAAGCCAGTCAGGATTTTTTGCCTCGGTGTTTACGTTACTGTTTGGACAAGATAAAAATAAATTAAATATGTTTCTTTAGATGTTAGCTTTTATTTATTTTACTTCCAACGGTCTCCTCCTCTGTTGCTAAGCTACTCAGCCTTTCTGGTTTTCCATCGGACATCTTGGTTTAAAGAAATTAGTGTTGCACTTTACAGTGGCTGACCAGCAGCTGTGGGATGTGTGTGGGGGAGGCGACAGTGGTGCAGTGGGTAGAGCAGTTGTCTCCCAACCAGAAGGTTGAAGGGTCTAATCTTGTTGCCTCCAGTCCACGTGTCGAAGTGTCCTTGGGTAAGACACTGAACCCCCCGATGGTTGGAGCCATCGGTTGAGGTGGTGCCACAGATGGCTGCTTTGGTTTTGTACGGAACCAAATTCCTTGTGTGTAACATGCTTGGCCAATAAAGGTGATTATCCTTATCCTTATGACACATTAGCGCCCACTGCAGTGGGCAATGTGCAACTACACAATCAAAGCCTGTGCACAGCTGTCCACTGACAAAACCTTAGAAAGAATCAACTGGACTTAGATTTCTAGATCGAACCATTTGATTCTTTCTAAGGTTTTTTCAGTTTACTATGACCTGGATGACTGAGAATCTGCACAGACACAGCTGTCCACTGTTGTAACCGCTAAATGCTGGGTTTTAAATGTCAGTGACAACAACTAAATGACATGTAGTTGTTTTTTTAACATGGTGTGTTAGTGTGTGTCACAAGCCACACGTAGCATATATTTTGTTTCCATCAATCAAAATTTCTGAAACATCTGAGAAATAGTGTGAGTTTAGTGTGTTTCCATCTTTATCAGGGAGTTTTTCTTTTAAATCTCTGTCAGTCTTTCTTACATCTGCTCTTTGTTGACAACAATTTTTCCAACAATCTCTTTATAATTTTTCATCTTCAATTTGTTTCCAAATCTCAACATGTTTTTCATGCCCAGTGGAACCAGTAGACAGAAACACCCCCACAGTCTGGTCAGGTATTGTGCCTGGAACTCCTCGTCGGAGGACGGTAGATGAGCTGATTTCACCTGTCACTTCTCCACAGAGAGCTGTCTGCGCTTTGCAGTTCTCTGTAATTTTCCAGTCTGCTCTGAGCTTCAGTCCTCAGCTTGACTTCCATTAGATATAGAAAATGCAGAGAACTGATAGAGGTGAGAGGTGAATGAAGAGACCGACAGAGACGTGTCTCCTCTGTTCTCCCACTTTCATCTTCCCTGTCCGTGTCATGCATTTTCACCCACTTCCACCTTTTCTCCCTTGTTGACATTTTCCTAAATTCCTCCTGGTTCCATCCCTTAATTGTCTCCATCTGGATTCCTCTCCCTGTCTCCTTGTTCAGCTCTCCCTCCCTCGGGTATGATTATAGGATCTCTGCTTCCCCTGCAGCATGCTGGGAATGAGAAATGGACGGTCCCATCTGTGTGCGTGTGACAAGTGATAAATGTCAGAGAAAAGTGTGTTGATGTGAAACTATTTGTGTGGGTGCGTGTGAGTCTGGTGATAGATGTGGTGGAAATGTGTGTTAATGGCATCAGTAAATAGTTAATGAGTATGGAGGCAAAACAGGTTGGAGCCCCAGGAGGTGATACTGCCGTAGACTTCGACACACTGAACACATGGCAACAATGATACCGGACAATAAAACAAGTCACCACCAGCTCCATGTGTTCAGTGTAAAGCTGTGGCATGTGGGTCTTTATGTCCAAAGACCCAGTCGCCTGTGAGCTGAAGGCTGGTGCATGTGCTGTCAATATCTTCACTTGAATCATGGCTCCCATTTCCACTTCACACTTAATTGAAGCCTCACATATAAAGACAAAGATATTTTCACTAACACTCTCAATCCTATTAACAAATGGGCAACAAGTGAGAGGAGACTCCTGACTGAGTAGAGACCCAACCAGCACTGATCAATCAGCTGATCATCGTCCTGATGATCTGATTGATCTGTTTGTCCCCAGAATGTCAGACACTGGAAAAAGTCCCACAGTGACTCTCCAGAACCAAAGGTGGCATCTCCACGCGTCTCGTTGTGTCCAACCAGCAGATCCACAGAGACTCAGCTGATTCTCATGTCTGACAAAGAAAAGCATCAGCTCCTCACATTAAAGAAGGTGGAACCAGAACATGTCGGTGACTGTTGCTTCTAAATAGCTGAGGTTCATTTTCTACCAGTGAACTGACTCATGGCTGCAGCTCTAGGTCACTGAATGGCTTCATGAGGACGACACAGTGGGTCGGACACAGTGGGGGGGGATCTGGTTTGGAAGGAGGAGGCTTCCTCCTAGCTATACCCCAGTCAGCTCACAGCTCAGGTTGTCATGCACCTGAAGCTGTTTGGTAAAAACTTCCAACCTCCAGCTCATTTACAACAAGTCGTATCAGCTAACAACTCCATAAAGTCAAACTCATGAATTAAACACGAGTCTTAGTCAGTATGTTAACGACATCCCTGATGTTTTATTGGTATAATGTTTACCATGTTCACAATAACTGTGAAAGTGAAAATGAAAAATTTCAGTCGGAATCAAAGTGGTCAACTGACCAACAGAATCAGAATCAGCTTTACCTGGACACACGACGACAAGTCAACATGATAAGACAGAGAAAAAGAATGGGCATTAGGAAAATAGAAATACAGTACTTATGGAAACAGACTGATGTTGCTGTACCTCGAGCTGCATCACTAGACTAAACTAGCACATTTCAACAATGTATATGCTGTAGTCCTCTGAGCTATGACAGGGCTGGTAATAAAAGCATTGTGTACTGTTTGATTAAGATATTTGATCCCACTGACTTCTCATTGAGACACCAACACTACAGGGTCTATGGATAATTAGGCTGAGTGGACTGAAGCCTGGAACATAATGTGTGATTACACCGCTCGCTCCTGCTCTGTATAACAATCAATATTCCATGAGCAAAGGGTAATGAAATCTCACCTCAAGCTTCCACAATTTAAAGGCTAAGTACAAAATAACCTCTTGGTTATTACACGGAACCACATCTGCTTCTGTGC